CAGGCAGTTCACATAGATAGCTTAGCCCGAGACAGGCTTTGATACACTAACCAAGTGACTGCAGGATGGTGTTGATATATTACTGAACCACCCCCAACTGTGAGCCCTGATAGCCAAAGCTACTGCCCAGAGAAATGATAAAACTGTAACTTTAGAAATGGCCTCTAGGATGGCTCTGCCTTTCTCTGTCTGGTGTCTGCGGTTGTTACCCATCAGCCAGAGGCCGCAAGACTCTGTGCCTGGCCTTCTCTTGGTAACCACCGAGCTTCTGGATTCTCCCTGGGCACACGCAGACCCACTAGTCAGTACCCACCCTGGTCTATGCTCTCGAGGGATTCCTGGGCCTTCTCCAGTGCCACCCTCCCAGCCTGACACAAGTAGATGTGGGTAGAGTTTGGAAGCTTCCAGTGTCCTTAGTGGAGAAGATTCCCCAACATTTTCTGTCCAATCAGCTGTTCCTGGCTTGGTGAAATGTCTGTTTAATTTTTACATTAGCATAATAGTGTAAGGGATGTTTGTGTGAATAAACCAAGCATATTCAAAAGACAAATCTTGTATGGACATCCTAATTGCCAAGTGCCCCACAGCCCATAGGCCACGCCCACTGCCAACTCGAAATTAAATACAAATAAATGTAAAAAGTTCACACAGCTTCTGGAATCTTGCCTGCACATGTGATATTTTATTCAGTCTTTATTTCTTTTAGCATGGGCATGGCCTGTGTGTGTGTGGCAGATGGTAGCTCTGCTTGCATGCTGACCAAGGTTTAAGAATATTGCTTCCATATTTTCTGGTGTTTGAAAGGTTGTGATACTGTTAGAGGGGCTGCCACCAGGAAAGGGGCTGCTTCAAAGAGCATCAGGCCTGGATTCCTGACCTTCTGTTCATACAGTGTGTATCAGAAACCTTGTTTCTTCCCAAAGGAATTCCAGACTTTAAGGTCATATGTGTAGACTCGAGAAGGAAGGGGCCCTGAGTTCTGCCTAACAGCTGTCTTATTTCTTTCAAGTGAAAACCAATTGCCCTCAGGGTAGAAGAACCCTCCAGATTTTCCAGTGAGATTCTCAGCTCCCAAAGTGGGACAGAGGCCAAAGGATGTGGCTGTCAGAAAAGATGGAGGTCTCCTCCAGAGGATGTGATTTCTGCCTGTCAGAAAAGATGGAGGTCTCCTCCAAAGGATGTGATTTCTGTCTGTCAGAAAAGATGGAGGTCTCCTGAATAGTCTGTTTCTCTTCACAGCTCTTGAGCTCCAACTGTGTGGAATGCGATAGGTTTTTGCTTAGGCTTCCCATGTTCCCACAGAAAATAACTTAATCAGGAAATAATTTCAAACATACCATCTGACACTCTTGGATTTCAGCTAAAGGAAGAGTATATGTTATTCTTTTAAAATTTTTGCCTGAAAAGTGCCTTTATTTCATTAAAAAAAAAAAAAACCCAAAACCAAACAAACAACAAACTACTGCTTGGTATAGGTCTATCTACCGTAATAGTGATGTAACTGAACCGGGTGGGCTAGTATGAATGCCAAGATCTCTAAACATCTTGATCATTTTACATAGTGTCTTTTTTTTTTTAAACTAATCTTTTTAAAAGATTTATTTATTTTTATGTGCATGGTGTTTTGCCTGCATTTATGTCTGTGTAAGGGGTCCAGATCTCCTGGAACTGGAGTTACAGGCAGTTGTGAGCTGGGAATCGACCCAGGGCTTTTCGGAAGAGCATCCGGTGCTCTTGACCGCCGAGCCATCTCTCCAGTCCTTACGCATCATCTTTAACTCAACTCAGTATTCATCAGTTTAGAAAAGGAACACAGCTGACACTTTGTGATGCCTGCTAAGGCCCATTATTTTTCACAGCATTAACACATTAATGCTTTATTTGTATATAAGCAATAACTCCTAATTAGAGTTATATCTAAGACCATGATTTTCCTAGAGAACCCTGTGGTCGGGGCAAGGTAAGCCTGAAAATTTTAATTTTTTTTTTAAATGTGATGTGGCGTGTGTGTATGCGTGCACGCGCGTGCATGCGTGCATGTGAGAGTGCATGCATTTGTGCTGCGCGTGCATGGGTGCATGTGTGTACACATTTGTGTGAGTGCTTACATGCAGAGGCTCGAAGCTGACCTTGTGTGTCTTCCCCCATCGTGCTCCACTTTCTGTATTGAGGCAGACTTCCTCGGGCGAACCCACCCTCTCTCCCCTCCCCAACTGCTGTAATTACAGGTAGGAATCCTGCTTGCTTCACAACTCCAGACTCCAATCTTTCACAGCCAGGTCCATCCTTGCAAACTCAGCCATCTATCTCCCTGCCCACATAGTTTAAATTTTATCTCAGGACACTAACCCGAGAAATAAAATACATGGCGAGAGTTTGTATGCTGACGTCACGGCTCAAGGGTGAAAGGTCCCCCGTGAGACACTTGGTTCCCTAACAGCTTCTCTAGGTAGAGGAAGTGGGGCACTGAAACCAAGTCTTGAGACTTACAGCTGGGTCCGCTTCCCGTCTGCTTCCTGCACCACTGAGGTGAGGACGGGCAGCAGTCAGATATTCCCACCGCCACAGAACCACACACTACACACCTTTCTCCCCATGACAGACTGAGCAGAATAAACCCCTCCTCCTTCCTGAGCTGTGCTCGTTGGGGGTTATCTGTTCATAGCAACAGGCAGAATGATGAACACAGAGATCTCTGGAAACATAACTCACCACAAAATGGGGAGATGGGGAAAGTTTGGGCAGGAACTGGAAGGTGAATGGTCCTGAGGAAGGAGAACTATTATGGTAAAGAGGAATCAGTCCACCGAGAACTCCCAAGACACTTGGTTATCACTTGTAGATGCAAATGTGATACTGCTTATCGCTGTGCTCTTCCTTAAGAGAGCGATTCTGTGTCTGCTACCCGCCTGGGGAGCTGGGAGAAGAGATCTGAGCTGGGAACTGCTAGCTCAGTCTTCACTCACACCTCATTGCTGCATAACGAAATCAAGGCGGGAACATGAGCTGAATACGAATTAAGGAAAAATAATAACAACAAATGTAGACCTAAGAACAGCATAGGGCAGGAGCAGCTAATGCAGTCCAGATGGCTGTCAGTCGAGGAGAGACGAAGTAGAGACAGAATTGACCTTTCCGGAAAATAAAACAATCTTCATGCACCAGATTGAAAAGAAAATAAAAACTAAACGTAATTTAGGAGAGACAAATAAAGGCTTCCCAGCACTGGAACATGGATATCGTACCCTCAGGGCCTCTTAAAGATACGCTGCATGTGTGAGGGACCACGGCAACAGGTTCACGGCTGACAGCCTGGGGTCACTATGAATAGGGCCCCATGACTGCTTCTCAGACTAGTCCTCGGGGCAGGGTGGATCATCACACTGGAGCATGATCCAGTGACAGCAGTGTGGCCCCCAAAGCCAGCCCCCTGTACAACAGGAGCACCATCCAGATCAGGCTATGGAGTGGGCACTGCAAATTCTTCAAGTTTATTCCATAACTGTCCTTACAAACTCAGACTTTCTGGAGGTGGGTGGGGGCCCATTGACACATAACACATAAAAGCCACGTTAGACGGTATGACTTTGTAAGGAATAGAAAACACAGGCCAAGGTGATGGAAGTCACGGCAGGAAGTAAGCAAAGGGTCGTAAGGGAAGACCTCAAGATATTGTGTGGGTAGAAGCTGGCATGGCAGGAAGAAGGCGATGGATCCATGTCGGGGATGTGTGGTGGTTGAGGAAAACGCCTGCCCGGCGAGGGTGCTTGGCATGCCTAGGTCACAGGCAGAGGCAGAGTGTGCATTTCTCAAAGTCGGAGGAGCCAGGGTGAAGTGAGAGATGGCACTTAGGGATGCAGGCAATCTTTTCTCTAGAAAACCTTCCAGTGTCTTCATTAACATAAGCTAAAGGCTGTCCGAGACTGAAAACATACGTCATGGAGGATTGCCTTAATTTAAAACACTATATGTCAACATTCAAGAAAATCATCTACCTCAGATAGGCTTTCTGTCTCCAGCCCGTCTGTACTGTGCAGAGAACACAGGTACCCCCTCTATCTGCAGGGTCAACAGACCACACGTTAGATCAAACACTCAGAAAAGGGACAGGGAGAGAGCGTACTGGGTATAAGCTCAGGGACCACAGTTTGAGTCCCTAGTACACACTTGGCCACATGCCTCCCTGGCCCCAATGATTCAGTTACAAACAGGTAGATGATCCTAGGAGACCACTGGCCAGCCAGTGTAGTCAAAAAGAGTAAACTTCAGGCACAAGGAGAGACCCTATCTCAAAGGAAAAAGGCAGAAGGCAACAGAGGAAGGCATTGGATATCATCTTCTGAACCTGGTGTGTACACACACACACACACACACACACACACACACAGACACACACACACACAGAGACACACACACACAGAAAACATTGTCTGTACTGAAGTTTCTTGTCTTTAGTCTCTAATCAATGCAGTGTACAGCTATTTGCATAGATAGCTGTTAACATAGCTCCTGTACAGTGCTCCTGTATAAGTTTAAATACTTAGAAAACATGCACAAGAGTTCTTCACCTCTAATTCCATTTTATATGTGGGACCCACAAGTCCACAGGTTTCTGTGTCTGAGGAAGGATCTTGGGATGGCATAAAAACTAAGTTTATAATTTCTGTCACTTAAATATTCACAGACTATTCTAATTTTGCTACTTGCCGGAACTTCTGAGATGCTTAAAATGCAAACTGTACCCTTGGTAACGGATGTGTGGGATCAAATCATCCCCTTTCTTTGCGCCAAGTGACTGCTGCAAGGCATCTTCAGTTTGATCCTTACACAGAGAGAAAATGCGGCTTCTGGTGTCATTGGGCCTGGTGTTGGACAGGAGCTACCAATTATTAGTTACATTGTTTCTATAATAAAGAAATCTGTGATGATACTGGCAGGTGCACTCGGCAGTCACAGTCACGTTTAAAGAAACACTTGTGGAATTAAATGGAAACAATTACCTGCTCAGCCAGGAGGGAGGCCAGGCTCGAGTAGGCATCAGCAAAGTCTGGACCGTACTTGATGGATTCCTTCAGCAGCACGATGGCTTCTTCTGTTTTTTCCTGGGACCTGCAGACGACAGGAGAAGGACACTTCTCATTAGCACTCGCTTTAGCCCTCTGCTTGGACTCCCAGATTCTCATTTCTTTTAGCAGAGATTAGGTGGTTCTTTCTGGTTGTGCTGAGGTCTAACAGTCTCCTCTCGTGTCTGAATTCGCAACAACACTTGGAGACAGTGCAGGTGTTGTTATGGAAGGTTGCGGACCTTTGGGTTTTGGAGGATGGGGGCAGGGCAGACATCACTGGGGGCAGGCCTTGAGGTTTTGTAGACCAGACCTACTTCCTGTCCATTTCACTGCGTCTTGACTGTGGACACAATGTCACCTCACGCTCCTTAAGGCCACGCCTTCCCCAACCAAGATGGGCTATATGCTCGTTATAACTGGGAACCCAGAGAAGAAAGCCCTTCCTCGCTTACATTTTTTTGCTTGTCAGGGATTCGGTCTTAGTGACGGGAAGAGAAACAAACAAGCAGGCCTGCTCTGCGGTGTTGGGGAGTTCTACTGAAGGGTCTGCAAGTCTGTTAACAAGAAACACTGACCTCAGGCCAACACTCTGGAGGCATCACCAGTGGGCTTGGAACCGGGTATAATGATGTGAACACCGTCTGTGTCATTTCTAACAGCACCACAGTCTGAAATCCTTTTTTTTTTTTTTTTTTATGCTTGTAAATGTGTATCTGTGTCTGTACACCCCATGTGCAGGTATCTACGGAGTCCAGAGAGGGCACTGGACACCCCAGAGCTGGAGTTGGAGGGTTATGAGACATCCAACATGGGCTCTGGGTACTCAGGCCCTCTGGAAGAACAATTAACTAGTGAGCTCCACAAGCTCATTTTAAGGATCTTAGTATAGATTCTTATTTACTTTTGACTTGAGATTTTTAAATTAATTTTTTTTCATTCAGTTTACATACAAAGCACAGTTCCCCTCTCTCCTCTCCTCCCATACCTCCCTATCCGCTACCCCTCCATTCAGAAAGGGGCAGGCCCCCCATGGGAGTCAACAAAGCATAGCATACCAAGTTGAGGCAGGGCCAAGCCCCTCCCCCAGCATCAAGGCTGGGTGAGGCAAACCAGCATGGGAGCAGATTCCCAAAAGCCAGCTCATGCTCCAGGGACAGGTCCTGATCACACCACTAGGGGCCCCACAAACAGACCAAGCTACCCAACTGTCACCCACACGCAGAGGGCCTAGGGCAGAGCCACGCAGACTCCATGGCTGTTGGTCCAGAGTGTGTGAGCCAGTGACAAGTTGAATTCTTAATGGTGGCTGCCGGCCCAGGCCAAGCCAGGCCAAATGTTCATCTATGGTTTATACCCAAGGAAGAAAATGTCACAGACAATTTATGAAATTGGAGAAGTCAATGCACTGCTGCGTCCCCCACTGCAAACTCTCTGCTTTTGCTATTGGGTCTCCTTTGGGACCTGAAGTCCGGCAAGTCTGGCAGTCTACAAGTCCCGGCCTAGGGTGAAAGCGCCCCTGTCCTGTTGGTTCGGTTGCTGCATCTCTCTGGCAGACACTGATGTTATAAACGTAACAAATACAATGTAGCATGGAGAACGGAATCTCTGCAAACACAGACAGATCTAGGCCTAGTCCTGGGGGCGGGGAGGGGGGTCACCTTGCACCTTTTCCCACCAGAGACCAATACAGAGTCTGATGCGTGTGTTTCCACAGCTCGGCTCAGTGATAACCGCGGGCTGGGCATTCTCGTCAATTCTCACAGAATTATGAATTCATTTCTTACAGCAGCCCCACACGATAGGTACTGTGCTCATTTTCCTAATGTGAAAATTCACACACAAGAGGGCCAAATGGCTCTGGTTATCTTCACATCCTCTTCCAAACGCTTCTCCCTGGTTACACAACTGATTCATTTTCTCTGGGATAAGATCTAACTCTGTATGCTGGGCCAACCTCGAAATCCCTTGAGGAAAAATCCCCATGTAAGACCAGTTAAAAGCATGACACCAAGATCCTAACACTCTGAGTGTGTGCTCTCTGTGGCCTCTGCCTTGGATCTTACTCATCTCTTTTCGTTTGTTTTTGATCCCAGAGGAGTTCAGTTTCTAGGATCATTCCTACTTTATACATGAACAGGTGAAGCCACGGCAAGCTAAAACTGTTTTCCTGAAGTTACTTGATAAGCAGAGATCATCACACGGTAGCAGCTGCCTGTTCTGAGAAAGGACACGGCCTGATGTCACAGGAAGCACTTGAGGTCAGGGCCCTCTCTGCAGTTTTCTGGCATGAGATCCTGTCCTAGTAAATTCTCTGCCTGGACAGGAGAGTTATGGGGGTGGCACCCGCTGCTCCCAGTGGGCAGGGTCCTAAGGGAGGAGTGAATGGACCCATCATTCCTGTCAACTGGAGGAAGGTAACAGGAAGGGTGAGGGCAGAGAGCCGGTGTGCTAGCCCACAGAGAGGCTGGGGGGAGACTGGATTCTGTGGAAGGCAGAGGAGGGAGGAAGCTGGCAGAAATGGGAGCCCCTGAGAAGGGGAGGCATCCTTAAGCCAAGTCTCACTCCCCAAGTGCGGCCTGCGACGGAGCCTGCAGGCCACAGATGGGTGTGAGAACACAAAGCATGCCTGCTCCTCTTTCTGCCATCCTTCTCCGTCTGGTGTAAAGAGCATCTCTGTACCTGAAAGCTTTTTGATCCCTCCAACAACCTGAATACCAGAGTGAGATTTTGTGTCGAAGCAAAAACCCCGCTGGACTGATTCAAGATAGAGGTTAAAGTGTTGGTAGCTTAAAGTATGACAGCGTCTGCAAAACGAGTTCCCGGTGACTGGCATGACACCATTAGCCTTTAACTGGACCATTCCTTCCTTAAGCCACCTCCCTCCGGGTCTGTCCTGTGGGACTTAGGGCAGATCAACCACAAAGCCACTCAGCAGAGTGATGGCTGGAGATTCTCGAAACTCTTGTACTTGACAAGGCAAGGCAGTCTGGCCCCGGGGCATTAACTTTTCCTAGAAATAGCTGAGCTAGGAAAGCTGGTGACAGTCCTTCCAGAGAATGTCAACAAAGCCCCAGGCTCCTTTAAGACTGCTTCCTGCGGAACTCTGCTCTGGCCTCGACTGTGTTTATCACAGCAGAGAACTCCACTATGGACTTAGGAGCTGGAATCATGGTGCAGGCATGTGTGCGTAGCCATGGGGGCCATGCTCACAGGCAATGGTCTGCTGTGCCCTCAGTTACGGGGCTGCAGCCTGCGTTCTCAGTTCCCAGATTAGTCTGTTGGACAGACCCTGTGGGGGGGGGGATGGGCCATTCTCGGTGCACAAGAGTAGTTTTAACTTCAACCCCTGCTGAGGGCCTCAGTCAATGTAGTCTGGCAGGTGTCTTTCACACACTGACCGCTGGTCAGGATTAGCTGGGGCTGGGTTCACTGAGGACAGAAGGCTGGATATGAGTGGTGAGGGGCAGGAAATCCTGAATGTGGAGACATTGGGATTCTTTGCCAATGCAGAGGGCGTAAGGGCTCCCACGTTCCATAGAGAGGATGAAGAAGACTAGGTATTGGATAATGTCACATGGCATATTCAATAGAGGGAATCTAACAAAGTTATGGACAGGCCAGCAGTAAGGTGGCATAAAGGGAGAACTGTGCTCGTCACAGGAGGTCTGCAAAGAAAACAACTACGTGAAAACGGCCCCCGAGAATGGCTGTGAGGTGACAATTCATAAAGGTCACTAGGAGAGAAGAGAGTGGGAGAAAGGAAAGGTGAGCGAGCAGAGGTAAGAGGCCAAAAGTCAAAGGTCAGAATCCAGGAACTATAGAATGAAAATGTCTGCACACGTAGGAAGTTTGGTGGCACAGCCCAAGCGCAGTGGAGATGCACAGCCTTGGAGAGAAGCGTGAACAGAACCCAGGGAGCAAACACAGACACTGAAGTTCACTGCTGATGGCAGCAGAGGCTGTGGAGCGGTGAAAAGCACCGCCTGGAGCTCAAGACGGAGATGTTGGAAGAGAGAGAGAGTACCGTGAAGTTGCAGAGATGAAGACGCAGATGGCACCACAAGGTGCCGGGCTGGGCTTCGGAAGCTGGGGAATATCTCAGAAAGGGAGGCGTCGGAGTTAAAAAGTAAAGGTTTGTGACTGAAATCCCGGCACCCAGGAGGCTGAAGCAGGAGGCCTGCCATGAGCTCAAGGCTAGCCTGAGCTACAGAGTGCAACTCTGTCTCAAAGGAAGACAAGGCTGAGAAGTAGAGATGGAGCATCTTGTGCACATATGGATGTCCTTTCATAAAAACGCTGAGTGGCCAATGAAGATGCTATGAGGAAGTATGCACCAGATATTCGAGTTTACTAGAAAACAATAGTTATGTCTCTATGTCTTCACAATCTTTAGAGGGTCTTCATTCTGAAGGAGCTATCCATCTCATCACACACTTCCATTGCTGGACATTCTGGTATGTTCTGTATTGTTTTCATCAGATTCATAGAAATATTTTGGACACCCACACCCTCTATCAGGAATGCAAGGCTGTTGTAGCAATGGGTAGGGGTATGACATGAGCCCTCACATTTCTTCGTTTTCCATTTTAGTAGCAAACACCACCATCTATTTTAATCATGCACTCACATAAATGTTCCCCCACACCCCAATTTTAAACACTCCGTTGTGCCTCTGGGGACTTCTGCAATCTTTGCCCATAAAAACCACAAGGTTTTCTTGCCTCTTTCTTTTCTTTCTTTCATTTTTCCTTTTTGATGTTTTAAGTTCCAAGAGTAGCCATTATTGACCAGTGTGAATTGGGGGCTGCTCCTCCTCGGTGTTCTTCCATAATGTGCTATACAGACTCACAACAGAAAAAGCTTCAAAGTCCCAAGAAATGCTCGAATGAGACCTCACACAGGTGGGTTACCCTTAAGAGTCTACTGCTGCAGCAGGGGTCATATAATCCCAAGAATCTAAGCAACTTGCAATGAGCTGGCTGGCATTCTCTGGCAGAGAAACGTCTCAATTTTAGACTTTCAGGCCTTGACAAGGGACCTGTTTCCTTCAAAGTCAAGGTTATTAGTAAAAGCTGGTGCTGGCCAAGAGAGAAGCCATCCCCATGAATGGTTATTGCACATGTGAAGTATAGTGAGCTGCTCTGAGACGGGCTGTGAACATCAAATATGTATCGGGTTTAACAGATTTAGTGTAAGAACCTTATGTCATCTCATTCAAATCTTCAATGTTTCATGATAAAAAATTAAACCATTTTAAAATATTAATCATGTACTAAAATAATAATTCAGACAGATTAAGGTTTAATTAAAGATATGATTAAAGTTCATTTTTATATGTTTTTAAATGACTTCCTGACATTGCAGACACAGCTCTCACACAGCTCCTACCAGGCAGCTGGTGACTATTTCACAGCTGGCCGGCACTTTCCACGTGGGTCACTGGGAAGCAGTGGTTAGGTCTGCTGAGCTAAAGGGACTGAGGTTTCTCTAGTCCAAACTCGAGTGACCTTGTTTTTAAAATAGGAATGGTGAGTGGCTGCCTCTGAGGAATGGTCAGACCTGAGCTGCTCATACACAAAGAGTGAGCATTACGTCCTACTCTACAGAAAGAGGCGTGGTTTTATAAAGCAAACTCCGATGATTCAAAAGCTGACTCAAGAGACAACCAGGGCATGGATGAAGAAACAGGAGATCTCAACACTTCACCCCACATTTGCAACATTCTTACCCTTTTCTTGATGTCTACTCACTACTGCTGGCCCAGAAGCCCATTAGAGGCAGCAGAGGTTAGCTCAGAGTCATCTGAATACAGAGGTGCTCTGCAGTTTCCTGCATCCCTTCCTCTGTCACTTAGCAAGCAACCTCTGTGTGATGAAGACCAACTGAGCTGTTTCCTTCAGAAACACTATCAGAAAGTCTACACAAGAGCCAAGGCAAGCTCTTACATAGCTTAATATTATTTAATCCGGGGGCTGGGGAACTATTTAGGACAAATGGGAACGTAAAGTGAACAAGGCAAGGAGTCAAAGGGCAGAGTTCAGTCCTGGGTCAGCCACAAGCCTAGGTCAGGGTCACATAGCTCTTGGAGGAAACTTGGGTTCCTCACCTGTGAAAGCAAGTGAAGATGGTAACACCTGTCAGTACAGGCTGTTTTAAGAATTTCATAGTGCAGCTGCATACACGCACACACATGTTACAAGAATACTGTGTATATATAACTTGTCAGTTAGAAAGTACTACACAAATGTTAGGTATTAACACGAGTTCATCCATTAGATTCTGAGACTCACACTGAGACAAGGCTGCTTATCCCTATGCATGGCATATCTTAGGATCCCCATTTCCTCTTCCCAACTCACGCTGCGGACTCACTGGAAGAGCACCATGAGAAATGAAAGGTCCCCAGAAGCCAGGCCAGTCTTACACAGATGTAAAGCCATGCTATGGATCTGGGTGATAACTGATTTTACTGAGCGGGAGAAAGCCTTATGCCAGTAAGTCAGTAGCCTCTCTTACTGCAGAGCAGCCATTACCATCTTCTAAGGCAGCCACAGCCACGTTCTAAAGCAGCCACCACCACATTCTGAGGCAGCTACAGCCACATTCTAAGGCAGCCACAGCCACGTTCTAAGGTAGCCACGGCCACGTTCTAAAGCAGCCACGACCACATTCTAAGGCAGCCATGGCCACATTTTAAGGCAGCCACAGCCACGTTCTAAAGCATTCTTTCCTACAGTTTTAACTCAGATGTAACCACTGAAGAAGTCAGTGGAGACAAACTGAAGGATGGAAGAAGGGCTGGGGTTGACATCGTCAGCTTGGTCCCCAGCAGGAGGAAAGGGCACAGAACCTCTGCCATGGTGCCATGCTGTATAGTCTGAGCACAGAACTCTGGATAGCATCCCTAACAAGGAAGTTCACTCTGCAGTCAGCCGTTCTGCTTGGCTTCTTAGGAAAAAAAAAAAAAGAAATACTTATTGAGAAGATCTCTGAAACTCGTGCTATAGAAGCCAATCATCTAAGGAAAGCCAATCTTGTGGGATTTTCTACGCGCTTGGCATAAACAAGGCACACATAGACATGCTAGTGACGTTCGGAACTGTGTCCTCACAACTTCACACAGAGACACAGTGTTCACAGAGGGTATAAAGCGAAGTAAAAGTTGTGCCTGCAGCTAGCCGGATGTCTCGGTAGCTAGAACTCACCCTTCTCGTGCCTTTTGATCTGTCATTATTTTACTTTGTTAAGATTTAATTTTACTTGTGTGAATGTGTGTGTGTGTGTGTGCATGTGTGTGTTAATGTGTATGTGTGCGCATTTGTGAGTGTGTTCACACACGTGTGTGTGCCTGTGGAGTCTAGAATAGGGCATCAGATCCCCTGAACCTGGAGTTACAGGGCCCTGGGTGTTACAGGGTGCTGGGAACTGAACTCGGGTCCTCTGCAAGAGCAGTGCTTGTTCTTAACCACTGAGCTACCTTTGCGGCTCCTCCTGAGAATTATTCTAACTCAGCACACCTGGCTTTGTTTTTGTTTTTGCTTTTTCCTTATTTCAAGCTGAGCGTGATTCCTGGTCAGGCCCTTCATTTACCCTCAGAGAACACTGCTTCCTTGGAAGCATACTATGGAATGTTAGCCTTGAATGGAGTCCTTCAGAAAGATTCCTAAGAGACTAGAAGCGTAGGAAAGCTCTTTGTAGCCTTACTCTTTTTGTAGCACAGCACACCCTAAGTACTCTTGGCTGTGTTTTCTTTCTCAGTTCCCGGTGACTGACAATCTGATCCCAGAAAGACACCCGAGAGATATACAGCTTTTAATTAATGATGAGCAAGTTGTGAAAACCATACAGTGAAACCAGGGTCTCTGGAACTCTCCAGGCCGCCCGCCGGCCCGGCCGGCAGGAGCCACCCCACTTACTTCAGGAGATTCCCCAGGTTGAAAAGTGCCCGGTTGTGCTGTGGATGGAGCTGCAGCGCCCTCTGGTAGTACATCTTTGCCTCTGCTGTGTCCTTTGTCAGTGTCCCGAGGTTGTTCAGTGCACTTGCGTGGCGTGGGTACAGCCTGGAAAATCAAAGTGTTAAACTTGAGCTTCTAAACTGGCACTCTGAGCATGTGTCACAGCCCAAATGGACCCTGAACTTTCCCGTGAAACGGCATGTCTGTGTTACAGCTGAGGGCCAAGTGCTTTTGCAGGTGAAGGCGTCTAAATAAACATAGCAGAGAGCAAAATCTTTAGACTCAGAGGTGTAGGGTGAAGGCGTCTAAATAAACATAGCAGAGAGCAAAATCTTTAGACTCAGAGGTGTAGGTAAATAAACCCCGGCACTGTAAGAGTAATAAAAATGTAAATCTGTAAGAGTAAACACATTTTAGTCCCTCGGGAGCTCATCCTACTCCTCTGCCAAGGAATCTTCCCTGCCGTGCGTGGGTGGGAACTTTCTATTGAGGTCACGGGGCTACCAGTTCCCTGATCAGTGCTTACAATTGGTCTGGGGTCCCTTCAGGGAGGGATAGATATGGGACATCCTTCTGTATGCTGTAGATATGTGTTGCTTTTATTGGCTGACGAATAAAGCTGCTTTGGCCTATGGCAGGGAAGAGTAGAGCTAGTCAGGAAAGTCAAGCTAGGCAGGATCGAGGGGATGCTGGCCAGCCACTGAGGAAGCAAGACATGTAGGAAATGAGGTAACGTAGCTACGATTACGTGACAATACATAGATTAATAAAATAGGTTCATTTATATGTAAGAGCTAGCTAGTAATAAGGCTGAGCCATCGGCCAAACAATCACCATTAATATTAGGCCTCTGCGTGATTATTTTATAAGCAGCTGCAGGTCTGGGCGGTGGGGGGTGGGGCAGAAAAGCTTCCATTTACAAGGGATCTTTTCTAATGTTTCTGGATCAGAACCTGATAAGACTACCTCAGCCAGGGAAGGGTGGAAGGCCCATGTCTGCTATGAGAAGAAACAATTGACCTCGATGCTCTTCCCGAATCCTCCCTCACTTTCCTTCGACTCCGCTCAATACAGCTCTTAAAATGTTCAGAACTTAAAACAGTCCAGACACAAAAACTAGCATGCAATGAAGTAAAAGCCAGCCTTGCTAAAATCCGAGAGAAAGAAAAAGCAGGGTGGAATGTGCGTCAGCAAGCTACACGATGCACCTTAAGGGAGGGAGGGGTCAGTCAGTCTTTCATTCTGCACGGCAGAGCCACCGCAGTCGGCCCTTTCTGACCAAGCTGGAGCGGAGATACTTAGCAGCCTACAGGGCTTGCTCTACCTGTCATTTATCCAGAGCTGGCCTTTAACGCAGAAGAGCCAAGGCAATGCTCACCCCAGTGTGTGCTAATGCAAATGGCATTTTGAAGCATTTTCTCATACAACACCCTATTTAAAGATTCCCTGTATAGCATTTCACCATTGAGGAAAAGGAGGCTGGGAAAAATGAACTAAACTAAAGCAGTTGTCTCTATCTCTCCCTCCCTCTCCCTCTCTGTCTGTCTGTCTCTCTCTTAAACACTTGTCCTCTTAGGTGTTAAAAAGGCAAACCATTCCTGTCAATGCATTTGTTTTCCCAAATAATACATGAGCCACTCAACCCTCAGCAAATAAATGAACTGCTATGAATCCAAGTTTCTATTTAGAATATTCCTATTATTTCTTATGAGCAGTTCACTTAAATCATGAGCCAGTTCTCAGAGGGTGAAGTGGGATCAATGTAACATGTAAAAATGTTGGCTTCGGGGATTAATTATTTGCCCCCAGGCGTCTCCCACGGTCTTGAAATCATCATTACTGTCAGGTTGGAAAGAAACTCCACACAAATGGCTATTCGCGTACCAAGCGCATGCTGGCCACCAGGCTCTCCCAGTATTACGAGTGCCTGCTACTGAGTCTGTTGCTGGATATCTGTCCCCCGCTGTGACACTCCAAGACTGTGTTAATAAAATTAGTGTTGGATTGGGGGCGGAGCCAGGGACTAGTTGACAGGGATTAGCCATAGAGGGTGCCTAGGTCACTTGTTTGCTCCTGGGCTTCTCTGACCTGTCTGTCAGGTTAGTTTCCCACCCCAATATCTGACTCCCGAGACTATGGTAAGTGGAGTAGCTTAGATTAACACAACCTGAGTCCATGCTGGCATCTGTGAGAACCAGAGTTACTTTTTAAGTTTTACTTACGGTGCCTAAGAGATCCATGAAACAGACAGACAGACAGACAAAAAACACCTCTGACCTGCAAGCCCTTTGCCCAAGGGCAGGTACTTCCTGAAATGCTGAAGGCTATTGTTTATGGGGGATGGGGGTAAAAAACCACAGGTTTTCACTCCCCTAAACAAGATGTGCTTGATCAGGCAGGAAATTCATCAGGATGTATGCTTATCCCTGATTGGATGGGGTGAATTATGGGTTTTGCCCCTGCAAACCACGATTTGGGGCCATTTTCTGGAAACCCAGAGATGGACCAGGTCAGAAAGTCCATCTCTACCACTAAATTGTGGTAGTGGTCTTATTCTCAACTGGTGGGATTGACCCACCCTGGCACTTCTCAGATCTTCTCACCCCATCCCCTACCCTAAACCTCTCTAACCTGTGGGCTTCCCTTCCCTAGCTTCTGGATCCCTTACAACCTGGCTATTTTGGCTTAGCCCCTTCCTTTCCTTGCTTCCCTTTGCCCTCGTTCTCTTTGTCTTCCTCTCTCTCTCTCTCTCTCTCTCTCTCTCTCTCTCTCTCTCTCTGTCTCTCTGCATCACCAAGTCCACTCTGCTGGCCGTGTTCCATCTGCTACGTCTTCTTCTAGCTCTGGACACTTCCCGATGGCTCTGGTTCTACTCTCACTCATATTTATAATAAAAACCTTTCCCCTCAACCATTCCTTGGCTCAACCATACACCAGAGCAGTCACGTCGAGGGATAATGTCCTTAGTTTATACAATTACTTACTTCTTTGAGAAGCACACATTGTAAACTAGAGTCAATACGCTCGGTAGCCTGTGAGAAGGGAGCTCCTGCTTTCCGAGTTACTGTTTGTAAGGTGTGTGTGTGTGTGTGTGTGTGCACATGTGTCTGTGTGGAGGATGCTTAGTATCCTGTTCTATCACTCTCTGTCTTATTTCTTTGAGGTAGGGTCTCTCGCCGAAACCACAGCTAGGCTGGCAGCCAGCGAGCCAGAATGACCCAGTCTCCACTGGCGCAGTGCTGGGGTTGCAGGCATAAGCAGCCACACTGGGCTTCTAAGGGGGGTGCTAGGATCTGAACTCAGGTCGTCACGCTTGACCATCAAGAGCTCCTGCCCGCTGTGCCATCTCCACCCCTGTCTGTGAAGTCCACAGATGCAGCTGTTTTACAGCTGTTTGGGACTAAAGTTTGGGCTTATATTCTGTTTCACTCACATGTTTTAAAATTTAAAAGTTAAGAATGCTGTATGTTTTTACCCTTTCAGTAACCTTACCGGTAATTTTATTGTTCAGATAACATTGATTTATGGTTGTAGTCTGCAACTCCCTTCCAGAGTGCGCACGCACCTAACCAAGTGTCTGATTCTCATGCCGCATGTTAATTTACTTGAGGTTAACTACTCTAAGGTTGGCTGTTTATTTCCTATTTCCTATTGAGGAAAAAAATGATCACAAAGACAAGCATGACTAGGAAAAACGTATCTCTGCTACTGAAGCTCAGTTCCATGGACTGAAGTATACCCAGGATTAACTTCCCTTCCGACCTTGGTAGACTGCTAATTCCGCATATTTCAAGTGCTTGGCCCCCTTCTGTGTGTAGTTTCAATCACCCTGCCATCACCTGGCCCTGGGTGACACTGGTGATCTTCCTGGCTGGTGCCTTTGATCGTCTGACGTGACAGCTGGAATTTCAACTGCTCTGTTCCTTTTTTTGGCACCTGAGTTCCCGATCCCTGGAAGAAAGCCTTGGGGACTAAACATGACCTCTCACCTCCTTCGCCGCAGTGACCTCAGTACAGCAGTGATGGGGGAGGGACGGGGGGAGGGAGGGACGGGACGGGACGGACTCCACCCAGGGATCTGGCCAACGCTCTACAGAGTAAAAGCATTTTTCTCGAAGTCCTCTGGAAGTGAGTCACTCGTAATGATGGCTGTATTGTCCTGATTCCAGAGATTTCACTCCCAGGGCGTGGGAAATCCACTGAGGTGATGAACTTTGGATTGAATGGTGGAGTGGACAGGAAACTGGGGAAAATACTGGAGACAGGTGCCAGCTGCATGATGCTAGGTGTGTGTGTGTGTGAGAGCCAGTTGCTTTTATAAACGGTCGGTGTGAATGAGATAATGGGCGTGAAAACATCCATCATCACAAGTTCACTTTGAGGTCAGATGCAGGACTGTGGTGTTCACACGCCAGGCTGGGGTTCTCCTCCCCCCACATCTGAAATATCACTCTTAGACTGTGGGGATAGTTGGTAAAGTCCCTGTCATACAAGCAGTGAACAGACACTAAGACCAGCTCCTATCCACCTGTTCCTCCTGTTCTGTGCCTTCTCGGTACTCAGGCTACGGAGCCATTTGCATCCTGACAACTGTCAATTCTTCACAGTGGGAGTAATTGATCTTCACAGGCCTACCAGCATTTCCCAAAGCTTTTCCCATTTGCTCTGCACCAAATGCAATTCTAGACCGATTTTTAAAACCATGTCCAAGGTCAACAGGTCATTCAAAGTCCCGTGTGCCTTCTGAGTGGCAGGCTTGTGTGCTCCTGGGTCTTTGTTGTAATGACACTTCTTAGCATGAGCACACACTGGCTGGTGAGTTAATCTAGAGATGGCAGTGGGCAGGAAGATATGCCCGCATTCCTAACAAACATCTCTTAGCCAAATAGGTCACAGAGGTGGGGAGGGCGCGCATTCTGAAAGTCCCTTTTGACCACTGGGGATCTTCACTGGCACACACTTGGAAGTAGGTAGGGTTGTGGAGTATCCCGCAACACCCAGATCATCCCTATGCCAGGACGAGCTCTCCTGCCCTCACGGCCCACAGCTCTCTGAGAATCACCACTCACTAAGTGTCCTGTGCCTGAGATGGTATGCACTGTCCT